TTTGAGAAGAGTACAGAGAGCTGTGTGATGTGGGTACACAACACCCTTTTTCCACCAGCTGATAAATGATTACACCTGTGTTGTAGGAGGGGGGGGGGGGGGGTTGTCATATTTGAGAAGAGTACAGAGAGCTGTGTTATGTGGGTACACAACACCCTTTTACCACCAGCTGATATAAGATTACACCTTTGTGTAGGGGGTGGGGGGTTAGTCATGTTTGAGAAGAATGCAGAGAGCTGTGTGATGTGGGTACACAACACCCTTTTACCACCAGCTGATATATGATTACACCTGTGTTGTAGGAGGGGGGGGGGGGGGTTGTCATGTTTGAGAAGAGTGCAGAGAGCTGTGTGATGTGGGTACACAACACCCTTTTTCCACCAGCTGATATAAGATTACACCTTTGTGTAGGGTGTGGAGGGGGGGGGGGGGATTGTCATATTTGAGAAGAGTGCAGAGAGCTGTGTGATGTGGGTGCAAGACACCCTATTACCACCAGCTGATATAAGATTACACCTGTGTGGAGGAGGAGGGGTTGTCCTGTTTAAGAAGAGGGCAGAGAGCTGTGTGATGTGGGTGCACGACACCCTTTTACCACCAGCTGATATAAGATTACACCTTTGTGTAAGGGGGGGGGGGGGTTGTCATGTTTGAGAAGAGTGCAGAGAGCTGTGTGATGCGGGTGCTAGACACCCTTTTACCACCAGCTGATATAAGATTACACCTGTGTGTGTGTGTGTGTGGGGGGGGGGGTGGGGTTGTCATGTTTGAGAAGAGTGCAGAGAGCTGTGTGACGTGGGTGCTAAACACCCTTTTACCACCAGCTGAATTAAGATTACACTTGTGTGGAGGAGGGGGGAGGGGGTTTGTCATGTTTGAGAAGATTGCAGAGAGCTGTGTGATGTGGGTACACAACACCCTTTTTCTACCAGCTGAATTAAGATTACGCCGGTGTGAAGGAGGAGGGGTCGTCCTGTCTGAGAAGAGGGCAGAGAGCTGTGCGATGTGGGTGCAAGACACCCTTTTACCACCAGCTGAATTAAGATTACACTTGTGTGTGTGTGGGGGGGGGGCGGGGTTGTCATGTTTGAGGAGAGTGCAGAGAGCTGTGTGATGTGGGTAAACAACACCCTTTTCCACCGGCTGATATCAGTTTACACCTTTGTGTAGGGGGTAGGTGGGGGGGGTTGTCATGTTTGAGAAGAGTGCAGAGAGCTGTGTGATGTGGGTGCTAGACACCCTTTTACCACCAGCTGATATAAGATTACGCCGGTGTGAAGGAGGAGGGGCCGTCCTGTTTGAGAAGAGGGCAGAGAGCTGTGTGATGTGCAGGGGTCTTGTTAATTATTTTTGAAGGAGGTAATTTGAATTTTATAGGAGGTACCATCTCAGCGAGGGAGCGAAGCGACCAAGCCCGAGGGAGCGAAGCGACCGAGGGGGGTAGGGACCTTTTGGGATTTTCCACTTGAAATCGTGCAATCTGGTGCATACCTAAGAAGAAAATTTGTAGTTATCTTTCCTACCTTGTATTACACATATATTGTAATAAACACACATATTGTTCATGTTTAATATTACATGAACAATCATAACTCATAAGAAAAGTTATTAAGTTGATAATTATTTATCACTTTGTACCATTACTTTGTAATTTTTAATTAAACTGAGATGATGCACCATACTCAATCTTTCTACATCATGATTTGTTGAATACATGTACAGTATTTAAATAATGGGCAGCAGAGGCTAGATTTTGATTTTTTTTTTTACTTGTGACTTTTATTTGGCTCCCCATATGAATTCTCATTTAATTATTTTTTTTTGAAATGAAATACATTTAAGAATTTACTTCAGTTCCTGTTCATTTTATAATGTTATATCACTGTTTTTCCTGACAAAGTGAAGACACTGTATATTTGTTTATTCAACTTTTTTAAGGAAATAAATGAAAATAAAATAAATGAATTAACCGATTGGCTTCTATTTTAGTCTATCTTGTCCTTTGTAGCAGGTGTGTTGTGTGACGAATTAAATTTCATCTTTAAAGCCAGGCATTATAATTTGTAATCATAAACATTCAGGACAGTGTGAGTTTGGGAGATATGTACTGTCTGTCTATACAATGTCATTTTGTTTGCAGAATTTCTTTTCTTACATGTACATCAAGACTCTTACCAATCACCAGAATAATTCTGATTTCAGAGATCTTCTGGTTCAGATTCTGAGCCAGAGGACTCTGATAAATTAAGAGCCTTCATAAGTTCTTTGTCTTGTGTTCAGAATTTCTTTTCTTACATGTACATCAAGACTCTTACCAATCACCAGAATAATTCTGATTTCAGAGATCTTCTGGTTCAGATTCTGAGCCAGAGGACTCTGATAAATTAAGAGCCTTCATAAGTTCTTTGTCTTGTGTTCAGAATTTCTTTTCTTACATGTACATCAAGACTCTTACCAATCACCAGAATAATTCTGATTTCAGAGATCTTCTGGTTCAGATTCTGAGCCAGAGGACTCTGATAAATTAAGAGCCTTCATAAGTTCTTTGTCTTGTGTGCCATCTCCCATTGCATCTTGGCCTTCAGTGATGGTATCATCGTCAGCGTATGGAGTTGGAACTTCATTTACAGATGCACCATCATCAGTGTCGCCATCACCAGTTTGCACCTGTAGTGTATGAATAAAACAAATAAAGAGTAGATTATTAAACAATATAGATAGATAATGTAAATTCAGATTTTTCATAATCTCACTGAAAAGGCTTTCTACAACAATTTCAAAAAGTGAAGAGCAAGCTATTGCAGGTGTAATGGGGTTAAATGGAAAAGAAATGTTTGGAGTGTATGAATGTTAATAATAACTATGAATGACTGTGCATTTGAACACAATAATACGTTGAGGCTGGTGTAGATTGTCATTTCAGAGTAAGAATATGTTTTACCTGAGCGTCTGCCATGACGGTGACTTGTTCACATGATGTCCTGCATTTAGGAAGCCTTCGCCGTGGTTTGACACCTTTCCACCTCTTCACCGCCTGGCTGATGATTTCCTTGGCTTGGGTTGAAGAAGCTGGTGGGCCGTTGATGCTAACATGCATCAATGCTTCAAGCATGTCGTTCTTGAGGCTGCTTCGGAGTCGAGTCTTAACTCTGCGCATGGTACTAACACCCCTCTCTGGCCAGGCGTTGCTCACTGGCATTGCTGCACATACTTCTGCAATGAAATACAACTTGGGGTAAACCCTAATGTAGGTATTCCTCATGGATGCTAGCCGCTGGAGGACCCATTCAGTTGGTGTTGATGTCCCACTTCTCACAGCAGCCATCGATTGCCACTCTCTGAGCTCAAACCTAAAGTTGGCCCACTCTGCTCTCAACTTCTCTCTATCGGCTTCAGAAGAAGGATAGAAGTGGCTGGCCAAAATGTCCACTTCTTTCACGCCATAGTTTGACAATGGCACATCGGATGGAGGTATGGCTGTAGGATCAAATATGCTAAAACTGCTAATGACGGGTAGAGCATCGTCAAATCTCCTATCAAGGTTCTCCTTCAAAGCAGACACATACTTGTTAAGCATTGTGCTTATCATCTCATACTGGTATGGTGTTGGGTGGATTTCCGTGAGAGCCAACCTCTCATCTACGTCTTTCTTCAACTCGGTTAAGACAATACCAGAATCTACGACCACTTGCAAATCATGTTTTGAAGCTTGTAAAGCTGGCCTTATGCGTGAGAAGTTCACTGTCCCATATTGGAATAGTTTACTCAACCTTGCCAAAATGGGAAGGACGTTCCTGAAGATGTATATTGCTCCAATAAACTGTGGCGTCTTCATCTTCTTCAGCAGGCCAGTTGCCACTGCATCTGTCTCTGAAAAGAAGTGTAGGGTATGCAGAATTGGCACAAAATCCAAGTACACTGCTTCCACGGACTTGTCCAATGAAAGCCACCGTGTTCGACAGGCTTTTCTTATCTTGCGAACGATGACCTTCTCCTTTTCTCCATCAACAGTTCTTAATACAGCCTTCTTGTACTCCAGCTGGATGTGCATGTACTTTGCTGATCTCTTTGGAGAATTTTCAAAAAAATTCCAAAGTTGGTACAGAACTGTTTCAACAATTGCTAAGTACTTTGTTTGGTCATTTGACTTCACGCAAGCTAGAGACAATTTGTGGCAGATGCAATGTATGGCAATGAGTTGATTACTGACTTCCTTCAGAAGGGTTGCGAGACCACTCTTTCTCCCAGTCATCACAGCAGCTCCATCAGTTACGAGACTTGTCAAATTCGTTACCTCTAGCTCACACTGCTCAAGCTGTTGTACTACTTCCTTGAATAAGACCCTACTGTTGGCACCTTCGTTGCTTGCATCTGCGAGAACATTTGTGATGGAAAGGAAGTCTACTTGAGGTATCGATGTCTCATGGTTGACATAACTAATAAAGGCAACCATTTGTTCCATTACTGCTATATCAGAAGCATCATCTACCAAAAGTCCATATGTCCGTGCCTCATGAACTCGTTTAAGTACGTCATCCTTAATGGTTTCTCCAAGAGTGATGAACACTTCGCGGATGGAAGATTGGGATCTATGATGAAAGTACTTCAAATCCATCACTCCAGCACGTTCCATCAGTTCTAACAGTGGGATGATCTTACAATTGGCAATCTCCTCCTTGGCAAGAAAGTAACAGGCACAAAACACATTGTAGAGTGCATCATCATGGTGTCTTCTGTACCCTTCACTCTCTTTGTGAAAATACGAAACTCGCCTTACAAGCTCAGCTGTTACCGCTGAACGATGCTGTTTGCTGGAGCCATGATCTTCAACCGCAGCTTTCCTAAACCTTTTGCCTGGTTCTAGGTTGAATGCCTTGGTCTTGTTCCTTGCATTGCCCACATCATGCTTTCGACAGAGTATACAGTAATAATAATAAATAATAATAATTGTAAATTTATAATGCGCAGTTTCTATATGTATATACTCAACTGCGCATTCCATGTGATGCTTCATCATAGGTCAACCAGTACATTCCAGTTCTGAACAATAACTGAGTTCACGGTCGACCAGCCATTCATGTTTGAATTTGTGAGTGAACTTAGATTGAGCATTCTTCTCATCAGAAGATAATGTTGAGCACTTTCTGTTACAGTGGTAAAAACTGTGGAATTTGTTGGAATTATCAAAATAGCTCTTGATTGTTTCTAGAACTATTTCATCCGCAATGGGTTTAGCTTCCAGGATTGTTTGCTCAGAACTCTTCGACTTCGTTGACATGGGATCTTCAGTTGATCTCGGCAAAGTGACTTCTGTTGAGTTTTGAGATGGCACACGCTCATTAGGTTCTTCAACATCGTGCATCGAATCAGCATTGTGTTCAGCAGCAGGACAATCTGTCGACGCAGGGAATGACTCGGAGTCATCTAGAAATAGGAGTAAAAGGAAAAAATATACAACAATGTATTTATATCAAACAGCCGACTGTTCATTTCTTTCATAAACAGAGTAAGTTTAAAATCACAATTCTCGCTTAATTTTGTGGACACCGCTCCCAATCCAATTTGCTGTGCACATATTCAATAACTCATGTAGATAGATATATATCACAGGGAAAATGGTAAGCCTGGCTCAAAGACCCATGAATTAATTATGTGCAAACCTAGAACATGGAAAATAAAAATAAAATTCTTGCCTTCATTACTATTTAGGCCTAATAGAACAAGAACATTAATATTGTTCATAAATCATTGAACACATAACATACCTTGAGCGTTTTGTCTTTTCGGGTTGAAAAAATCCTTCAGTGAAGATTGGCGCTTCATTGTATGATTATGGTCACAGTCATCCTCTGAAACTGAAACAACAAATAGGTCATTTAGATAAAAACCAATGTTAATATTCAAAATACATGAGCAGAAAGAGAAAAAATGTCTGCACACACTGGATTTATTTTGATTGTGTAACTGGGATATTTAAAAAGGAAAATAAGCATAAAATCCTTACATTGGCAACGCAATAAAAAAAAAAAAAAATGTTTTTCATGTTTTCATGTGTTTAAGAAAAACTTATCACCATACTTTCTGTCAATGCTCAGTCATTTCAGCTCAGTTCAATTGCATTTTGTTAGAAAATGTAGCAAAAGAAAAAAATTAGTGTTGCCAATTTGACGTAGAAAAGACTAAGCTGATCAAATTAGCACTAAAATAATTCATGTCCTGGGTTATGTTATCCTGATTGGCAGGTAAAAAATTAAGTTGATTTATATTTTGTTACATTTAATAATTTATTACTAAGAATGAAGGGCCCACCAGGCTAGGGGTCTGAATTATAGCTAGTTAAGCAAGTCAAGCATTCTATTAAGTTCTTTACATATGGCGGAAATAATCAAATTTCCCATCTAAATAAATATTTCTGGCATATTTGTGAAAATTTCCCCAAAATAATAAGGGATCCAGGCTAGTCTAACTTAGACAAAAACTTAAAAATAAAAGAGGGTCTGAATAAACTCTGTACCATTATTGACAATGTCACACTGACTGCTCACTGTATTTAGAATAAGTCTAACTTGTTAGCATTTTTATTGCTAGTGAGTGGATGCGAATTATAAATAATTTTATGGAATAGGTACGATGATGGCTTGCACACTTTCCACGCCTTTACTCGACTCGCAGTTCATTACTGGCCGGGTAGACCGGGCCAGGCGAAAGGGACGTACCGTAGGCCTACGGGGCACGCGAGCGAGGAGGTGAAACTTTGACAAGTGCAAAATCTGATCACCATTCTCGTGACTTGGAACAGACTGACGACAAAATAAAACGACCGAGAAACCATTATGAAATTGGTTTCTACGATGCTTGTTATTTGGGGAAAATTTTATAAGTTATGCGGACTTACCAACAAATTTGTGATCCACTGTAGGCCTAACGTTAGATCTGGTGGTACCTCTGATCTGTATCGTTCCAATTTTAATTGATGTGTTGCCGAAACGAACAGCCTCGAGATCGATTGCGATCGGAAGTTTGTTTTTAATATTCGCGGAGCGCGAGTCTGCATTATGCGAGCTAGCTGCGGGGGTCCGCCGGGGACGGTCGTGGCCGGCCTAAACTCAGCCGAGTTCAAAACTCTGTTGCCGATTTGCGCATCTCAGAATCTAAAGTACGTTGTCTCTAGACATTGCACGCACGTGTATAGGCCCGGTTTCCGTGATCTTCAAATATCAAATCGGCAACGGATAGTTTGGTTACAGCGAGCTAGCTTCAGTTTTGTTATGATCAGTGTGTATATTTTGTGCAGTGCATCGTCTTCTCGTGTGCACATCGGGATCGCAATGGGGTAGGGACGGGCGGGCTTGGCCGCCGCGCTGTGGGGGGAGAACTGCGATGTAACGTTAGATAGATAGGTCTAGGTAAGTACGGACGACGTCGCGTTCGTGATCGTAAGGGATTTCGTCGACTGCGGCCGTGTATGTGCGGCACTAATTATATCTTGGACGAAATTAAGGAAATTTTGGATTAGCATTGATTTAGATCTACTTTCTGTGATTTTTGCAAGGTTTATTATAGGAATTATAGCCGGTAAGAAACGAGTGAATAGGCGGCAAGTTTTACCGGTTACCGGCTTTAAACGACAGCCCTGGATGTGGGTACACAACACCCTTTTTCCACCAGCTGATAAATGATTACACCTGTGTTGTAGGAGGGGGGGGGTTGTCATATTTGAGAAGAGTACAGAGAGCTGTGTGATGTGGGTACACAACACCCTTTTTCCACCAGCTGATAAATGATTACACCTGTGTTGTAGGAGGGGGAGGGGGGTTGTCATATTTGAGAAGAGTACAGAGAGCTGTGTGATGTGGGTACACAACACCCTTTTACCACCAGCTGATATAAGATTACACCTTTGTGTAGGGGGTGGGGGTTAGTCATGTTTGAGAAGAATGCAGAGAGCTGTGTGATGTGGGTACACAACACCCTTTTACCACCAGCTGATATATGATTACACCTGTGTTGTAGGAGGGGGGGGGGGGGGTGTCATGTTTGAGAAGAGTGCAGAGAGCTGTGTGATGTGGGTACACAACACCCTTTTTCCACCAGCTGATATAAGATTACACCTTTGTGTAGGGTGTGGAGGGGGGGGGGGGTTGTCATATTTGAGAAGAGTGCAGAGAGCTGTGTGATGTGGGTGCAAGACACCCTATTACCACCAGCTGATATAAGATTACACCTGTGTGGAGGAGGACGGGTTGTCCTGTTTAAGAAGAGGGCAGAGCGCTGTGTGATGTGGGTGCACGACACCTTTTACCACCAGCTGATATAAGATTACACCTTTGTGTAGGGGGGGGGGGGGTGTGTCATGTTTGAGAAGAGTGCAGAGAGCTGTGTGATGCGGGTGCTAGACACCCTTTTACCACCAGCTGATATAAGATTACACCTTTGTGTAGGGTGTGGAGGGGGGGGGTTGTCATGTTTGAGAAGGGTACAGAGAGCTGTGTGATGTGGGTACACAACACCCTTTTTCACCAGCGATAAATGATTACACCTGTGTTGTAGGAGGGGGGGGGGGGTTGTCATATTTGAGAAGAGTACAGAGAGCTGTGTGATGTGGGTACACAACACCCTTTTACTACCAGCTGATATAAGATTACACCTTTGTGTAGGGGGTGGGGGGTAGTCATGTTTGAGAAGAATGCAGAGAGCTGTGTGATGTGGGTACACAACACCCTTTACCACCAGCTGATATATGATTACACCTGTGTTGTAGGAGGGGGGGGGGGTTGTCATGTTTAAGAAGAGTGCAGAGAGCTGTGTGATGTGGGTACACAACACCCTTTTTCCACCAGCTGATATAAGATTACACCTTTGTGTAGGGTGTGGAGGGGGGGGGGGGTTGTCATATTTGAGAAGAGTGCAGAGAGCTGTGTGATGTGGGTGCAAGACACCCTATTACCACCAGCTGATATAAGATTACACCTGTGTGGAGGAGGAGGGGTTGTCCTGTTTAAGAAGAGGGCAGAGAGCTGTGTGATGTGGGTGCACGACACCCTTTTACCACCAGCTGATATAAGATTACACCTTTGTGTAGGGGGGGGGGGGGTTGTCATGTTTGAGAAGAGTGCAGAGAGCTGTGTGATGTGGGTACACAACACCCTTTTTCCACCAGCTGAATTAAGATTACGCCAGTGTGAATGAGGAGGGGTCGTCCTGTTTGAGAAGAGGGCAGAGAGCTGTGCGATGTGGGTACACAACACCCTTTTTCCACCAGCTGATACAAGATAACACCTTTGTGTAGGGGGTGGGGGGGTTGTCATGTTGAGAAGAGGGCAGAGAGCTGTGTGATGTGGGTACACAACACCCTTTTTCCACCAGCTGATATATGATTACACCTGTGTTGTAGGAGGGGGGGGGGGGGGGGGGTTGTCATATTTGAGAAGGGTACAGAGAGCTGTGTGATGTGGGTACACAACACCCTTTTACCACCAGCTGATATAAGATTACACCTGTGTGGAGGAGGAGGGGTTGTCCTGTTTAAGAAGAGGGCAGAGAGCTGTGTGATGTGGGTGCACGACACCCTTTTACCACCAGCTGATATAAGATTACACCTTTGTGTAGGGGGGGGGGGGGGGTTGTCATGTTTGAGAAGAGTGCAGAGAGCTGTGTGATGCGGGTGCTAGACACCCTTTTACCACCAGCTGATATAAGATTATACCTGTGTGTGTGTGTGTGTGTGGGGGGGGGGGTGGGGTTGTCATGTTTGAGAAGAGTGCAGAGAGCTGTGTGACGTGGGTGCTAAACACCCTTTTACCACCAGCTGAATTAAGATTACACTTGTGTGGAGGAGGGGGGAGGGGGTTTGTCATGTTTGAGAAGATTGCAGAGAGCTGTGTGATGTGGGTACACAACACCCTTTTACCACCAGCTGAATTAAGATTACACTTGTGTGTGTGTGTGTGGGGGGGCGGGGTTGTCATGTTTGAGGAGAGTGCAGAGAGCTGTGTGATGTGGGTACACAACACCCTTTTCCACCGGCTGATATCAGTTTACACCTTTGTGTAGGGGGTTGGGGGGGGGGGGGGTTGTCATGTCTGAGAAGAGTGCAGAGAGCTGTGTGATGTGGGTACACAACACCCTTTTTCCACCAGCTGAATTAAGATTACGCCGGTGTGAAGGAGGAGGGGTCGTCCTTTTTAAGAAGAGGGCAGAGAGCTGTGCGATGTGGGTACACAACACCCTTTTTCCACCAGCTGATACAAGATAACACCTATGTGTAGGGGGTGGGGGGGTTGTCATGTTTGAGAAGAGTACAGAGAGCTGTGTGATGTGGGTACTCAACACCCTTTTTCCACCAGCTGATACAAGATAACACCTTTGTGTAGGGGGTGGGGGGGGGGGGGGGTTTCATGTTTGAGAAGAGTGCAGAGAGCTGTGTGATGCGGGTACACAACACCCTTTTTCCACCAGCTGATATATGATTACACCTGTGTTGTAGGAGGGGGGGGGGGGTTGTCATATTTGAGAAGAATGCAGAGAGCTGTGTGATGTGGGTACACAACACCCTTTTACCACCAGCTGATATAAGATTACACCTTTGTGTAGGGGGCGGGGGAGGGGGGTCCTCACGTTGGAGAAGAGTGCAGAGAGCTGTGTGATGTGGGTACACAACACCCTTTTTCCACCAGCTGATATAAGATTACACCTTTGTGTAGGGGGTGGGGGGGGGGTGTTATATTTGAGAAGATTGCAGAGAGCTATGTGATGTGGGTACACAACACCCTTTTTCCACCAGCTGATATATGATTACACCTGTGTTGTAGGAGGGGGGGGGGGGTTGTCATGTTTGAGAAGAGTGCAGAGAGCTGTGTGATGTGGGTACACAACACCCTTTTTCCACCAGCTGATATAAGATTACACCTTTGTTTAGGGGGTGGGGGGGGGGGGGGGTTGTCATATTTGAGAAGAGTGCAGAGAGCTATGTGATGTGGGTACACAACACCCTTTTTACACCAGCTGATATATGATTACACCTGTGTTGTAGGAGGAGGGGTCGTCATGTTTGAGAAGAGTGCAAAGAGCTGTGTGACGTGGGTGCACGTTCACCCTTTTACCACCAGCTGATATGATTACATCTGTGTGTAGGGGAGGGGGGGGGGGGGGGGTTGTCATGTATGAGACGAGTACAGAGATCTGTGTGATGTGGGTGCACATACATGTACATCCTTTTATCACCAGCTATATGTAATTGTATCCTCAGGACGTATGCCGGTATGCGTTACGCCTCTGAGTCATATTCTTGTGTGCGCTCTAACTGCCACATTCCTTGACAGATTTCTTTCAAATTTTGTGTGGAGGTGTATCTTGGTATAATCTACACACCCATATCTTTTGGTGATGCTGCCCCTAGTGTTCCATCTTCAATAGGGTAAAATGCCATATTTTTGTGGATGGTTTCTGTGCACTCAACTGCCATATTTCTTTACAGATTTCTTTCAAATTGTCTACAGAGATGCATTATACTCTAATCTACACACTTATTTTTTTGGTAATGCTGCTCCTAGTCTTGACAATAGCCTGAGCCACCTCATCCTTTTGTTTCAGGGAGGGGAGAGGGGATCTTTGTCCCTCCTTCGAACATAAGGATGACACAAAATGGCTGCCACTGCCGGGGGATACATTCGCATTGCACAGCAATACAGATTGCGATATTTCTAGTTTTTATTTTTTTTTTAATTTAAGAGATTGATAGTTTAAAAATACTTTCACTGGTGCTTGCATGTTTGTCATCTGCGATTGCCCAGGCCTGTTATTACATATTACCTGGTAGGTTTTGCAGTTACATGCAGGAATTGTTAAGGATAAGTTAAATATTGGCAAGACTTCGTTGTCCATATCGGCAATGAAGTCTCAAAAACAAAAACAAAACACATGTAACAAACTGCACAAAAATAACGGTAAAACGGAGCGAGAAATGCTAAACGGTTTTGATGAATGCGGTCGTTGAACATCGGTTAAACGTTTTGACTCAGGCTTAACATTAAACCTTGTTTTACTTTAGATGCAGGTAGATTTGGAGATGATTCCTTTATTCCAGAGACCCAGCTTTCAGCCAAGAAGAAAAATGGTGAGTTCAGCATTAAAGAGAAGGTTGAGAGGTGAAAAATAATTTGTTATCATTGTTATTATGCAAGTGTGAAAGAACATCAGATAAAGTATGTTCCCTGAAAAGCTTGGCTCTTCAAATGCCTTCATATTCTAAATATAGCATGTAATATCATAAAAATCGGGACAGATTTTTACGCCACGTGTTTGTGCAGTCCCATATACATCTTTCCGTGTACAGTGCTTGTAACTTTACCAAGACTTTGCCAAATTTCTCATCATATTAATGATTCCAGAACCTTGCAATACACACAAATACTTTAATGCTAGATGATCAACCTTTTCTGGTCAATTCCACACTGTTTCTTTCACAATGCAATCGAATGATCAGAACTCAACTTTAAAGGGAAACCAACATTACCAGACAACTACTCTAAAAGAAAGCAGGAAAAAAAAAAAGACTGGTGAAAGTTTGGACAAACAATAAGAAAGTTGTAATCACTATATATATATGTATGGGTATTTCAAATTGGCTGACTTGGTAATGTAACTGTGATGTAGTTCTGGACAACTTTCCCATATGATTCAACACACATAATGACTGAAATGTTAGGCTCAGGTTAGACTTTTCCTTTTTAGAGGACCTATATTACTATGCTATCCACAATAAATTCTAAGAAGTGCCACAAGGTTGAAGGCAAAGAGGAATTAATTATATTTGTATACATGACACATGGGAAAGTTGTATGTGACTACGTCACAATCCACTTTCCAAATTCCCAATTTGATATTCGCATAGATCTAATGATCTCATATTTCAAACATTCATATTATGGTCTGATTTATTTGAAACTGGGCCATTTTGCTTCTCTTTGTTTCTGCATTCATACAATGGATCTTATTACAAAGGTTGGCTTGTCCTTGCCTCCCTGACCTTTTTTTAATGCCAGTTTTCAAATTGACATGTCAGTTTTGTTATTGCTAGTATTGTTATTATTATTGTATTTTCTTTGTATCCTTGAATGTATTTATATATTGCTTATGTTGCTTGTGTATGTATGTCACTCGCCAGTGGAGGACAAATTTCTGTATTTTTTTTTAAATCGGACAATAAATTATCTTGAATCTTGAATGAATAGTACTAGTATGCAAGACTGTCAAATTCACATATTCCATTTATTTCTGTTTTGTGAATATAAAATTGCCTCCTTAGTCTTATGCTTTATCTCTTTCCTGTTAACTTCAGATATCTCAGCAGTGGAAGAATCTGACTCGGATACAGACATCGATGAGACAGGTGAGAAGGTTCTTCCAACTCTCTATAGATCACTTCACTTCACTTCACTTTTTCACGATCCACTGCAGGATGAAGGCCTCGGCATGCTTTCTCCAAATGCCTCTGTTCAGCGCCTGTTGGTGCCAATTAGTCTTTTCCCAGAACTGTTGCAACCCATCTCTCCATCTTTTTCTTTGACCTCCCCTGTTTCGTTTTCCCTGATATAGTGTCCAGTGAGTGATTGCTGAACTCCAGCGATTATCATTTCTACGGCTGATGTGGCACGCCCAATTCCATTTCCTTCTTTTAAGGATGTCCTGGACTTTCGTCTGCTCCCTGATCAATTTGTTCTGTAAATCAACACACCTTCAATGCTTTAAATAGTCAATATGAAAATAATCAGATAGCTTTTACAGATCCAAAGTTGGGATTGGTCCACAGCTTGTTGCTTGATTTCAATCGCGAGGATCATAGTTAGCATATTCTATCTGCGCTGCGCACGCTTTAATAACAACTTTTAATACGACATTAATACTGTGTAGTGTACGGCATAGAGTAAAATGTATAATAATTCAAGCTCTAACACGCATTCCCTTGTTTCTTGATGTTTTTTTACTTCCAATTTTCTTTTTCCCAGGACCATTTGATATATTACTTGCTTCTGCCCAAACTCAAGCTGTTATGGCAACTCAAGCCGTAGACAACATGGCAACATTGGCAGTAGACAACATGGAAACTCAAGCCATTGACAACATGGCAACATTGGCAATAGATAACATGGCAACATTGGCTGTTGAAGATGGGGAAACTCAGGCCATCGACAACATGGAAACTCAAGCCATCGACAACATGGCAACATTGGCAGTAGACAATATGGAAACTCAAGCTGTAGACAATATGGCAACACAGGCAGTTGATGGTATGCCAACATTGGCAGTAGATGGTATGGAAACTCAAGCTGTAGACAACATGGAAACTCAAGCCATCGACAACATGACAACATTGGCAGTAGACAATATGGAAACTCAAGCTGTAGACAACATGGCAACATTGGCAGTAGATAACATGGCAACATTGGCTGTTGAAGATGGGGAAACTCAGGCCATCGACAACATTGAAACACAAGCTATTGACAACACAGCAACAATTGCTGTTGACAGTATGGCAACACAAGCTGTTGATTACAGTCCAGATAGTGACTCGTCTGATACAGGTCAGAAGAACAAACTTAAGGCAAAAACAAATTTTCTATTTCATCATCATCATCATCATCATCATCATCATCATCATCATCATCATCATCATCATCATCATCATCATCATCATCATCATCATCATCATCATCATCATCATCATCATCATCATCATCATCATCATCATCATCATCATCATCATCATCACCACCACCACCACCACCATCATCACTATCATCATCATCATCATCATCATCATCATCATCATCATCAAAATCATCACCATCACCACCATCATCATCATCATCATCACCACCACCATCATCATCATCATCATCATCATCATCATCATTTATGATAGTTGTGCCATCATAGCACTCCCTCCCTCCACTTTTTCTTGTCTTGAGCATCCTCCTCATTTTAACCAACCTTATTGCTTTCTTTCTTCACCATATCTTTCCAAAGAAAGATTTGGTTGCTTGTAGAGCGCATTCTTTGTACCTCACCCACAAATCCTCTTCTGTTGTGCAAGCAGATAATTTAAACCGATCTGTAAATGAGATGAGCCTGGCTATACAGATATAAAGAACAGAGGCTGTATAAAGAACAAAGGTTGTTCGGTATACATACTACCCACTAACATTGGTGCATACATTAAATTGTTTTTGACTTCATTAGATATACTATGTCCCTTTTGCAGCCAACATCAAATTCTGTAGAGCTTTGCAGGAATTATGAATATGTCATGTCCTATTTGTGAAATTTAAACATTAGCGGTGTCCTAGTATTCAAATCGTACAAGGAAACCTGTTTACTTTCTAGACATCACTTTCAGAGACTATTGAGGGACATGGATTTTCATTATTGTTCTCCTCTGTTTACTCTGTAGATTTGGATGAGGTTGGCCAGAGTATGCTTGAAGCCCCGACCCAAGCTGTGGGACTTGATGGCTCCAGGAGGCAGGGTACACCTAGGGAATGTAAGCATTTATACCTAGCCCTTATACAGGCCTACATCCATCAGACATGACTATGTGATTGGATTTATATTGTAGATAACACTATAATAATAATAATACAATTACAGTAGGCTTGCGGTTGCACCATGTGAGAGAGGGGGAGGATTGAGGAGTCCTGAAAAGGACCGCAAGCCTACTGTATATCTACAGCACAAGCCTACTGTATATCTACATAACTTACAAGTAGCATTTAATAATACATTTATAGAGCGTAGAAACTATTCCGCCCTATCTCTATTTCTTTCTTTTCTAAGCGCATAGGGACTTTCTTTATATTAGTGATATGCGCTATACAAATAATGTTCATTATTAGTATTATTATTATTATATATTCTACTGCGCTTTCAAGAGCTCCTGATATGCTTAGATTTACAGTTCATTGAAAAATTGTGCTTTCAGTTTTGATTTAAAGCTAGTCACAGGTGGTGATTTCCTGACTTCAAATAGTAAGTTATTCCACAATTTTGGGGCTGCACAAGCAATATGCTCGATCACCTAGAATTATTTTTGTTTTGATAGATGGGATCTGAAGCAACAAAGTATCTCGCAAGTTGCGATTGTGTTGATTAAGCTTGAAATTCAATACTTATAATCCAGAACCTTTGAACGTGCATCTTGAAATGATTTTAGATTCATATGAGGTAAGCTCATCAGTTTGTGCTGGTTTTATGGTTTTTTGCCATTTTTTCTCTGTATTCAAGTTTAGTTAGGTATTTTGTTACGTACTGTCACGTTTTGCTGTGTTCACATAATGTAAACCTAGCATAACATTGTGCTTAGCATTGGCAAACTAACAAAAGAACCAAAATCCAGTAGCCTGAAGACTCTGGATGGTCATGTGCAAACACACACAATATTTGTACTTAGCTAACATTTGAGCTGCATGATTATTTCTTTATTGATCATTTGAATATTTATGAGACAGAGTTTTAATCATTTTTTTTGGCATTTTTCGTATCGCATATCGTAGGCCTAAAAATAAAAAAATGTTGTATTGCCCTTCAGGTGCCAAAAATGGGTCGGTCGGTCGGAAATCTCTTTTTTTAAACTTTTTAAACTTTTTTTTCCCTCCCTCTTTGGGCTGATATTTCTCAGTTTTGAATGCTTTAATATTATTTTTCTGTCAAAAAACAGTTTAAAAAAAACAACTTAAAAATGACGACTAGATTTTAAGATTTTTGGGTCGGTCACAAAGGGCAATACAACATCTTTTTTTTTTTTTAGCCCTTATAGTGGTTATTTTTTTTCACATTACACTGAGGTGTACGTTTGCTTGCCTTCTTTCTTTCAGGGAGCCGCACGTTAGTCCTCGATTCATCCACAGCTTCTAGTGATGGAGATGACAGTCCGGTCAAACAGGTATGCATCTCACATCTAGCCCTTACTCTGATATTTTCTAGCAATAAGCCACTTTCGTAAAATTACCAAATTTAATGCATAAGTCCTAGTGAAGTGCCTCATAAGAATAATAGTATTTCAATTTCAATAGTCAGAATGCAAACTGTATATATTAAGTGTTGCTAGGTAGGTCAAGCCATAAAGTTTGTCCTACATGGCAACAGTTAATGTATGCAGTTCAGATTCTGTCTATTGTAATACTATCATTCAGTGAAAAAAATACACGGGGGCTCGGGGTGAATTAGCCCCCAAAATGCTAAAAAGAGCCCCCGAAAGTCATAAAAGAGCCCAACAAAAATTTGCCTAGAGTTCAATGCAAAACAAATTAAAGAGTGTTATTTTCATGCAAGCAAGCTTGAAAAGTAGCCCCCGAAATGTTTTAAGTATTTTTTCCCTGCTATCATTCTTATCAGGCGAATGAAATAATTTGTATTGAGGCACTTCACAAAGACTGATGCATTAAATTAGGTTACATTACGAAAGTGGCTTATTGCTCTTTGCCCTACCTATGATTCATACTTGCCAATTTCAAGGGTTTAAGAGCAGGCCTGATAATTACCCGATTTATATCGGTCTCCCAATTTCGTTTTTTTTTTTTTTTTTTTTTTTTCCCTCTCCCCCCCTGTTTTAACCCCTATTATCCTTATTTGTTTCCCTTTTCCCAATTTTCTTACTCAGAAGGGGGGGGGGGGGAATGTTGTTGAATGTTAATTTTTCCCCCGATTACTTTTTTTATGCCTCCGTTACGAAGTAGCCGGAGGCATTATGTTTTCGGGTTGTCCGTCCGTCCGTACGTCCGTACGTACGTACGTACGTACGTCTGTACGTACGTACGTCCCGTTCTCGTGATCGCGTTATCTGAAGAACTGGTTGATGGATTCGTGCCAAACTTTGGTCATGTATGTATCTTGTAGAGCCGATGAACTGATTAGATTTTGGGGTTACGAGGTCAAAGGTCAAAGGTCACAGGGCTCATTATGTATGCAAAACGAGCTCGTGATCGCGTTATCTGAAGAACTGGTTGATGGATTCCTGCCAAACTTTGGTCATGTATGTATCTTGTAGAGCGATGAACTGATTAGATTTTGGGGTCACGAGGTCAAAGGTCAAAGGTCACAGGGCTCATTATGTATGCAAAACGAGCTCGTGATCGCATTATCTGAAGAACCGATTGATGGATTGCTGCCAAACTTAGGTCATGTATGTTACTTGCAAAGCCAAAAAACTGATTAGATTTTGAGGTCACGAGGTCAAAGGTCAAAGGCCACAGGGCTCATTATGTATGCAAAACGAGCTTGTGATCGCGTTATTTGAAGAACCGATTGATGGATTGCTGCCAAACTTAGGTCATGTATGTTACTTGCAGAGCCGATGAACTGATTAGATGTAGGGGTCACAAGGTCAAAGTTCAAAGATCACAGGGCACATTATGTATGCAAAAACAGCTCGTGATCGCGTTATCTCAAGAACCGATTGATGGATTCCTGCCAACTTAGGTCATGTATGTTTCTTGCAGAGCCAATGAACTGAGTAGATTCTTGGTTCATAAGGTCAAAGGTCATGGGCTCATTATGTATGCAAAAATAGCTTGTAATCACAATATTCTGAAAACCTGTTAATGGATTACAATTGAACTTGAATTTGAAAAAATTTCTTCTGTTTTGGTTTGTAAAATTGCTCTATGACGGAGGCATCATTTTCGACTGCGCGCAGTCGAAATTCCATCTAGTTTTTTACTCAAGGGGTGGGGGGGGGGGGGGGGTTGAGAAAAAAGAAAAACTTTTTTTTTTTTAGTGCTCCCCCCCCCCCACCCCCCCCCCCCCCCCCCCCCCCCCCCCCCCCCCCCCCCCCCCCCCCCCCCCCCCCCCCCCCCCCCCCCCCCCCCCCCCCCCCCCCCCGCTGTAAGAGGCTTTGTTTCCTAAGGGGGTGACACCCATACTTACATGCAATAGGACTGTGAAGATGGAAACCAGTAATCATGTACATGTAGGTCCAGGAGCAATGGCTACTCACTGCCTTGGGTATGCTTGGCTTGGATGAGCTCACAAATCTATATTTGTAGTTTTTTCATCTGGATTGTTTTTATTTATGGTTCCATCATATCTGTAGAATGGGATCAATTGATTGAAAACAAGTATATAGATGTGCTGCAGTATGTGCGTGGTAGTACTATTAAAGACACAGGATGGTATGCTTGATAACACTGAATTTAAAGGTGATGTCCAACCCTGATATTAAAGAGAAGGTTGAGTTCTGGGAAGAGGTGAAAAATAATTTGTGAGCGTTATCATTCTTATTATGCAAGTGTGGAAGAACATCAGATAAGACATGTTCCCTGAAAAGCATGGCTCTTCAAATGCCTTCATATTCTTAATATGTCATGTAGCATCATAAAAATTCAGGGTAGGATTTTTACGCCACGTGTTTGTGTAGTCCCATATACATCTTTCTGTGTACAGTGTTTGTAACTTTACCAAGACTTGGCCAAATTTCTTATCATTTTGATGATTCCAGAACCTTGCAATACACAAATTCTTATATGCTAGATGATCAACCTTTTCTGATCGATTCCACACCGTTTCTTTCACAATGCAAAATGAATCGCATGACCAGAACTCAACTTCATCTTTAAGTTGGTTTGAGTAATAACAGAAAAAAGAGAGCAACAGACAGGTCAGTTTAAAAGTTTGAGAGAATAAGAAAGTTATGAAATTTAAATTTGTGATCAATCAGACACAAAGTGGCAACACCGACATATCTCGCACACTCCTCTCCAATTTGCTCAGTACACCATATTTCATAAATTTTCATTTTCTTTGTTATTGATGGCAGAATAGATTACTTCCATATTTGTAATAGTTCTACTAGGGTGTGTGTATGATGTCTATTTTCTTGAGGGACATGAAAGTTTCAAATTTCTAATACAAATTTTCTTAATTTTAATCAGAATTTGCTCAAACTTTCACTCACCTGTTCCTCTCATTTTCTGCTTCCATCAAAACCAACTCTACACTTCCCCTTTAATATTTCAACTTTTTTTTTTCTTTCTTTTTTTTTGCAGGGAAAGGGGGGGGGGGTTCAAGCAGACCATGTAACTTAGGAAATTACAAATCTCTTTCTAGAAGTTACCTTTTCCCTCTAAATGTTTTGCAGCAAAAATTGAAATCGGTCAAAACAGAGCAGTCAGACATTCAAACTTGTGTCTAAGCCTTGGCTTGGGGATCTTACCGCTTCAGCTCGGGGTGATAGAAGGGCCGGTATGAACACCACCACACACCACCACCATCCCCATGAGCAGTCCATATTTGTTTTTTATACCTCATCTTTTCATTGATTCATGAAGAGGTCTAGAAAAGAAATCCAATATCAAGAGTCTATTTGCTCCTCGCAGTAACATATTAACAGTCTTTTGAAGTTCAAAACGGTTTCAAATATCCAACGTTAAAAGAAATCCAACATACGGAAATCCAATCTATACAGTAAGGCAATGCAATTACTGCGGCTCAGCGTAAATTGCATGTCTTCAGCGCCGTGACACCGCTGGAGTTGCCCGCTGGAGGGTATTTTTATTTCTGTATGCTGTGTGTGTGCAAAAGTCGTGAAGTGGTTAGGCGGGTTAGAGGTTAGGTCACAGGGTTTTGATATTCTATCATTTGACCTTCGGTTAATTGATAGAACGCCCAAACCCTGTGACTCAATGATAGATCGAGATGCTCCTTGTCATGTGATATAGTTTTGACCAATCAGTGAATATCACTATGAACATGATGGACAAAGAAAGAGGACAAAATATACAGTTCCTCATTCTACCCCCAACAATTGCTGTGGTAGACAAAGGAACATCCCTTCACTGCTATTATTTAAAAATGTGTAGAACAGGTGAATATGCATGTGACACCTGTTCTACACATTTTTGTCTCGCCTGCGTAGCAAAAAAGCGAGACATAGGTGCCGCTTTTCCGGTGGGACGGCGGCGACGGCAGCGTCAACATCAAAAACTTAACCTAAGGTTAAGTTTTTGAATTTTTGATATAATTTTGAAAGTATAAGTTCTTAGTCAATGAAACTTGGACTATAGGTTTATCAAGTATCCCCAATCATGTGAGTAGAATTTCAGGTCACAAAGTCAAGGTCAAAGGTCATTTCAGGTCAACAAACTTAGACTTTGTTGTGGCATCAACATCAAGATTTTGAATTTTTTAGCATATTTTCAAAATTGATTGTTCAATTTCCATGAAACTTGTACCCAAGGGTTATCAAGTATCACAAATCATATGACACAAATTCCAGGTCACAAGGTCAAAGGTCAGTAGACTTGGATTATGTTTTCACAACTTAATATGAGAATTAATAATTTTTTTTATTAATTTGTTCATATATTTCATTCAAGTTATCGATCGTGGTACATTTTATAGTAAATAATTCTTCTGATGATTCTTAGGCAATATTCACTTCAAAATGTGATTATCTAATGGGCCACCCTGCCTATGCATAATGTTCCAACCTCAGTTTGTCATCATATCGAATTGCGTAATGCAGGCGAGACCGCCGAGAGCGTTTCCCTTGTTACATAATAGCAGTGAAGGGATGTTCTTTTGAATACCACAGCAATTGTTGAGGGTAGAATGAGGAACTGTATTTGTCCTCTTTCTTTATCCGTCATGTTCATAGGGTATGAATCTATGTATGAGGTTTATAATATGTTTGCTCATCTATTGCTGCAGGCTAGGAGTAGCAGAAGCATCTATGATGAACCCACGCAAGCATGTGATGGTATAGTCTCAGATTCAGGCTCAGAGACAGACATAGAGGACAGAGGAACTGAAGCAGAGACACAAGCTGTCCTAGGAGATAGTGAAAATGAAATAGGTTAGTATGGATATGCTTTATTTTGTTATGTCTCCACTCACAGAAAGTGGTGCCGGAGGCATTATGTTTTCGGGTTGTCCGTCCGTCCGTCCGTCGTTCTCGTGATCGCGTTATCTCAAGAACCAATTGATGGATTCCCGCCAAACTTGGGTCATGTATGTATATTGCAGAGCCAATGAACAGATTAGATTTTTGGGTAACGAGGTCAAATGTCAAAAGTTACAGGGCTCATTATGTATGCAAAATTACCTTGCTTTTGTTTTGGTTTGTAAAATTGCGCCATGGCGGAGGCATCATTTTTGACTGCGCGTGGTCAAAGGTCAATCTAGTTTTTGTATGTCTCCACTCACCAAAAGTGGTGCCGGAGGCATTATGTTCTCGGGTTGACCGTCTGTCAATCCATCCCACTTTCTCGATATCACCATATCTCAGGAACCAATGAGACTTTGACATACATAGCATTCTCACTTTCATGAGGGAGAAAGGGGTTCTTTCATCAACTCTCACCAAGGTTTCCCTTATTTGTAACCCTTACCTGATCACTTTTATTCTGTTTTGGCGTTCTTTCACATCTAGCCTCCATTGTCTCCCTAATTTCTGTATTCTATAAATTAAGAGGCCCGCTGTAAAAGTAAGACACCTTTACTTCATGAATATTTCACATATTTTTTAAACATTACTCTAGGAAGAAAGTAATTAGAACAGATAGTAGGTGGAGGTCATATCACTATAAACATGACTGACAAAGAAAGCAGACAAAATATACAGTTCCTCAGGTAGACAAAGGAACATCCCTTCACTGCTATTATGTAAAAAGGTGAATATGCATGTGACACCTGTTCTACACATGTTTACATAATAGCAGTGAAGGGATGTTCCTTTGTCTACCTGAGGAACTGTATATTTTGTCCGCTTTCTTTGTCAGTCATATTCATAGTGTATATTCCAAGTATCAAAACTAGTGCCTGTTTTATAGTGCTGTGGGGCCCTCTGTTGACACTGGTTTTATATTGGGTTTATGACAGTTTGTTGACTTGTATGTTGAAATTTAACGATCATTGTTTTGTTGAAAGTTGTCGACATCGGCCATATGTTTGAACCGACATGTAGACAAAGAAATGTGTACGCGACGACAGCACTAGCGTTCTATGTCATGCTCAGTACATATAATGTGCAATTAAAAAATAGAGGGATTTGCAGTATCATTTACAATTGTTTTGTTCATAAATAATTGAATTGATTATTTGACAAAGAAATCAGAAAAAGTATGTTGAATTTAAAATAGTATTTTATGGTTAAAGATCAGATGTTGAACAAATTGATGGTAAGATATTATTTTTGAGAAATGTGTTCATGATTTCTATCTTTCTATTCTCCTACTATGATTGGTATAGATAACATGGCTACTGTTGCTATTGGTCAAGAAGAAGAGGAGGAGGATACCACAGAAGACAAGGAAACCATGGAAACCAATTCTAAGATACCCATAACAGACACGACTTGGGATGTAGAGAACATGGCTACAGTTCCCATAGAAATGGATGATTATGATGACGATACTGACGTAGAGGACAGTGATGACAAAGGAGCGAATAGTGATACGGTCAAGATAAAAGATATGGCAGATATGGCTACCATTGCCATAGCAACGGCTAACGATGATGATGATGATGATACTGATGTGGAGGAGGGGAGCAAAGATGAAGAAGAGAAAAGTGTGATAAATGACACAAAGTTAAAAGATGGAAATAGGGACATCATAAAAGAAGACAAACCAATTATAGCTCCATCAAATAGTGATCATGATGATGACAACACTGAGATGGAGAAGAATAATTCCTCTCAAGAATATTTCTTGAACTATAGGACTGAGCAGAATCCTGCAGCTGAGGAACCCCCCGGATCGTGTGAGGTTGAGGCCACTCAGCCTTACGGAGGACCATCAGATGATACAAGTACAGAAGATGTACTGTCCAGTAACCATGGCAATGATGATGGCATTGATGCTACGCAGCCATATGGTGGTATGAATGAGGAGGAGACAATGGAAGAACCTACGTCCGCAACATCGATCACAATGGCATTATCCTTCACTCAACCGTATGGTACTGAAGGAGAAAACAAGCAATCTGACTCACATGATGATGATACAGAACCAATCATCCCACGTGAAACAGAGGAAGATATTGCCATGGAAACAGGGGACAGTGAAATAGAAAGTACTCAGGCTTATGGAATGCAAAACAGTGATACAGTAGGTTATACTCTTTTTTTCCTACCTATGTTTTAGGGATGTTTGTCCCGTTTTCATACTCTTATAACTCTAGAACTATTGAGGCGACCTCAACTTTGGACCAAAGTTCCTAAAATCCCAAATTTCAATCCAGTTTGTCTTGAAGCAAACCAAACATACATGCTTTATAGCCCCCTGTCTAATTTCTTCAGTAGTCACAAATACCTTTGATGTAACTAGAAATAAACTTCCCCATAGAAAATTACTGGCTATGTTAATGTGTGAAAGTAGTGGGCTTAAAACATGACCATTAATCATACAACTTATCAATGTGTTTCCCCCTTTCTTTTCACAGCAAGTACCGGACAGTCAGGATGGTGATGACCAACCAACTACGTCTTCAAGGTTCCCAGACTTCAAGACCCAGTCACCTTCAAAATCCTGTCTGAAGCCACCAAATACACCAGAAAGAAAAGCAACCAAAGCTAGGAGAGTAACGTTTGAGCCTGCAGACAACGAAGAAGAAGGCCAAGAAAGTGAAGGAGAAAGCCAGCCTCTGAGACGCGGCAGTCGCTCTCGAGGCAATCAGTCTCGAGGTGAAGGACAGTCATCATCAAGCGGATCCAGAGTGTCACGGAGAAATAAAGATGAAAAGGTGGACATTGAAACAAAAGATGATGTTACCTCTGGAAGGAGGAGTACTAGATTTGAAGCTGTGAGTGATGAAGCAGCAGCCAAACCTGGACGAAAGAGGAAGGTAGGAGCCCTAGAGCCAGTATCAGCTGATTCCTCTGCACCAGCAACCAAAGATAAGAGTGATGCGAAGATGAAGAGGGGGGAGAAACAAAGAGGTAGTAAGATGGAAGAGGACCCTAATGGAGATCCAGTGTCTGTTGATGAAGGGCTTACAATGACCGATGCCAAACCAACCAGAAAGAAGGAGTTTGATGCAGAGAATCCAAGGCCATCAGTGAGGCAAGGTTCAAAGGTCAAAGATGAGAGGAAGCTTTCTGATGGCAGTATCTCATCTGTTGGTTCTGAGGGAAGCAGAGCAGGGAGAGCATTGAAAACTATCGTTCAAATAGGAAAGAAACTTACAAGAATGAGTAAAAGGGAGAAGAAAAGTAGTGAAGATAGTGAACCAAATGCAACTTGTAACCCCGTTTCTGATTCCGTAGCGACAAGGAGGCCACAAAGAACTGCTGAGGTTGTGGACGATGGTGATAGTGATGATACAGCATCAATATCATCTACTGCATCAAGTGTAAGAGACTTTGCTGAAGTCGAGCCCAGCACAAGACCAACAAGAGGAACCAGGAATAGGAAAGGGAGTAAGAAGATCACTGAGGAACATGCTGGACACGTGACCCCTGGGGCCAGGAGGTCACAAAGAGGAGGATCAGAAAAGGAAGAAACGACAGATTTGCAGGAAAGTGAGAAGAAAGCTGGTAGTAGGACAAGAAGAGGAGGAGTTGCTATTGAAACTGTTGAGACAGAGGTGGATGGGCAATCAACACAAAGTAGGAGCAGGGCACGAAAAAGAGAACTAGCTATAAAAGGAGATGAGACACCATCGCAGGATGATGACCAGGGAGAGGTGTCTACAAGAAGAAGAAAGAATGAAAGGATACACTCTCAGAATGATGAGGAGGTTAGTAGTAAGAGGACTAGAAGAGGTACTACGCAAGGGGTAAAACCAGACGTACAAGAAGAGGAACCTATAGGAAATATAAGTACGAAAAGGGGAGAAATTCCGTCTAAGGTGGTTAAGCCAAGTACAAGAGGCAGAGCAATAACCCAACATGCAGGAGGTAAGGAACAAGGTACCCAAGGGGAAACTTCAGTTCAGGCAGACAAGGAATCACAAGAGACAAGTACACGGAGAAACAGAAGAGCCACAAGCGAAAGCCCAGAAGGGTCTGCTAACGAAACGGGGGAGACCAATGTACGGCATAGTGGAAGGAGGAGAACAGTACCTGCAAGATTTCTTAATCCAGATGGTAAAGATAAAGCTACTGGAAGCCACAGATCATCTTTAGAGCAGGAGGCGGAAGACACAAGCAGCTCCAATGCTGGTGTGTTTGCCGTGCCCAAGGCCTTGGCAAAACCTTCCAGGAAAATACAACAGAAAGAGCTACCATCTTCATCACAGACAGCAGTAGAAGCAGAGACAGTGCAGTTGAGTTCTAGAGGGAGAAGATCTACTGCTAAGATCCCTGAAGCAGCTGTAGAGCCTGTGAAAGAAGCCTCGAGAGTGAGCAGGAAAAGAGGCCATGAGGCCCCTGCTGCTATGTCAGGAACATTGTGCGTGGAAGAATCAAAAGCTGAAGAGAACAAAACCACCTTTAATCAGAGAAGAGGACGGGCTACAACAAGAACCTCTGCAGCTCCTTCAGACGATGGGAAATCAGAAGATTTGAAAGAAGCTTCTAGAGATAGCAGCAGAAGAGGGAGAGTGAAACCTGTAGAAGAACCGGTATCTGAGAAGAGCTCGGTAACTCCTACTACAAGAGGGAGTAGAGCTGCAGTACCAGCCCCAACAGCTAAAACATCCAAAGAGTTTAAAGAAAGAGGTGACAGAAGTACAGAAGGAGACAAGTGTAATGAAGTGGTGAGCTCCATATTTGTTTTCATATTATTAGGTGTTTACCCCTCCAAGTACAGTTAAAAATAATAACCTAGGCTTCTATAGCACATTTCATCTTCAAAGAAAATAACAATGTGCTTTACAATATTAATACAACAAAATTACACATAACTACTAATTCACGAACTAAAGAAATATCACAATAAGGACAAGATTAATAATAATCAATCATTATAAACATCAATTACAGAGAAATGAAGGCAAATTATGTAAAAGTACTGCAATGTAATTAAATTTTGATGAATACAATAATACGGATAAATGGCATCAGAAAGCGTTTTTAAACAAGTAGGTTTTCAGTTGAGATTGAAAGAAAGTTAAGATCAGTTCTAAAAATGCTGGTTCAATAGTTAAACATTTCACATGTAAATGTTGTTACAACTTCAGATTATTTGTGTTACTTTCATACAATAGTTATCAGTTACCAATATGTTTGTTTGTTGTTGTTTTGTTGTTTAACTTCGCCATTATATTTTCTGTAAACTAAACTCAGAATTGAGTTTTATTATATACTTTTGTTTACACTGAGCACACAGGTAATAATAAACTTAAATAACCTCACATATTTTTATATTTTTTTGACTAGGTTAAGACCAGAGCAAAGAGAGGTGCCACTGCTACCCCACCGCCGTGCTCGCCAGCCAAGAGACCAAGGCAAGCTACCATTCCAACCAGCCAGTCATCCCCCTCCAGTAGCCCAGCAACGAGGTCAGGTCACCAGGCTTATCAGACGTCCACTCTCAGCCCAGCAACGAGGTCCGGTCACCAGACTGATCAGACGTCCGCTCTCAGTCCATCTCTAAGGAGACGTCTGAGTGATGTTAGGCCAAAGGTCATGTTTACGGGGGTCATGGACGGCTCATGGCAGAAGGTAAAGAATCAGCTGTCTAATGAACCTTACAATCACAACTTAAAGGGATCGTTTAACAATGTTAAATCTGAGATGCACGGCCCCTCGTGTTAATTAGTGTCTGTGATATGGTTTAATAGTGAAGCCCTACAAGAATTGCGCTTCAAAATGATCAAGAAGTGCCTCAAAGAGTAAAAAATCTTTGAGTGACTGGTTTTACAATACTTGTTTTCCCCAATAGACTGTAGTGTTATGAAAACCGTTAGGCAAATGCAAAATTTGGTTTCGATTTCCAATCATAAATATCTTGATAATCAGACAGGCGATCGGCTTGTAAAATTCATGGGGTTCCTGACTGACCTAAAGGTTTATAATTATCATTGCAGCATGAGCTAAATCCAGGATTTTTTTCAGAATCTGAGACAAAGTTACCGGATCCCTTTAATGTAACAGCGTAGCTGGGTCATTCTTTGGAATATAAACCCCAAATCACCCACTTGGCAGGCATTTATTATAGCAGCATGTCACAATACAAGTTATACTTTTTAAAAATAAATTTGTATTGCTTTCTCACATTTTCACTTTCTATGAGAATGAAGGAACATTTCCTAATCACTTTTTTTTCACTATGACTTTAATAATTCCTGTGTGTTTGGCCATACATGTATTTGTAAATAGACCACAGTATGACATTTGAGAGAAAGCCATGTATGCATACAGTATCAGAAAGAAAACAAAAACTTTTTTCAAGTGTGACAATTATACAATCATTTAGAAATCACACAGTGGATACTGTACACTCCAAGGTACATAATGGTATTAGATAATGGTCAAGTATGGTGTCAATTCCAATTTACATGGATTTGGACTTAAATTTGAATGGGGACTATGAAGCATCTTTCAGTTGTGAAATTAATGGAAGCTGTTGTGGACTTGGGGGGTGTTTCACAAAAATCATAAGTTGAACTTATCTCTAAGTTGGACTTAACAATTCTGGAAAGCCATTAGCATTGTTGAAAATATTTTGTAAAAGTTATTCTAAAAGGCATAAAATGTTGATTAAAATCATTCACATTTTCTATTATCATGGGAGATTTCATGTTCTTGAAGTGGAATTTATGAAAAGTCTAAAATACTTGAATTTTGCTTTTGAATATATTTCAAAATAAGACTACAAATGGCTCTCTATAATATTTAAGTCCAACTTAGAGTTAAGTTTGACTTCGAATCTTTGTGAAACACCCCCTTGGACTAATAGATTGTGGACTGAGCTACAACACTGTCTTGAAAATAGGCATGAAGTTCGAGTATAATCATGAAACTTGTTATTTTCACAATTATTTTGTGTAAACAGACTGTAACAACATTAGGAGGTGAGCTTGTAGACTCCGTTCACGAATGCACCCATCTTATAACTGATAAAGTGAGGAGAACTGTTAAATTCCTGTGCTGCATGGCTCGTGGTATTATCATTATCACACCGAACTGGCTGGAGGACTCAAAGACTGCAAAGATGTTTATTGGTGAGATTAATATACATTCCTATCTTCATTTATCCCCTGTAACGCAAAGGTTAAGATACGGTCACAAGGTTCGTACAAATCTCTGTTTTTCCATTGTCTTCCCAAATTTCCATTGTCTAAAAATCGTTTGTACAGCGTTCGAAGCAGTTCGGAATGGTATTTGTGACCGTGGCTTTAGCCTCACCATTATGATAATTTGTGTAAATATATTCACACAATTACCCCAAAATACAAAAAATGCTTCCTCGTCATTTATTGACCAAGTTTGATTTTGTTCGCTTTCTCAGGAAAGAATTGCTCAGAATTTTTTTTGGTGTAATCGTTGATTATGTGATAAATAGAAGCTGTACATTATTTTGCTTTCATAATTATCAAATTCTAACAGACTGATTAAATCTTGCTTGCTTGAAAACAACAAAAAGAACTAGACACAGATATTTCTACATTGGACTGACACATATTTGGCATCAAAATTTAGTCCAAAGTTGTTGTTTAATTTCTAGTACAAGTACAAGAGCAATTTATAGTAGAGGTCCTTTTTCATGGGACATTGCTCCTGTGATATTCTTGTATTGTATATGAATATAAAAAGAAGGATACCTTTAAAGATAAAGGTGAGTTCTGGTTAAAAAAATAAAAATTTTTTTTTTTTCTTCACAGAATCAAACAAAACTTACACTAAATGTTCAAGATTACAAATAAATTTTGCCAAACAATTTTGGTAGAAAAATGTATAATGGCTGAGTAATGAGCATAGAAAGATTAGGTAATCAAGGTTACTAGCCCAGACACCATTTGTGTAGTCCCATATACATCTTTCTGTGTACAGTGCTTGTTACTTTACCAAATTTATTATCATAATGATTTTGATGACTCCAGAACTTTGCAGTAGACACCAATACTTACATGCTACATGATCAATTTTTTCTGATCCATTCCACACCTTTTCTTTCACAATTCAATCAGATGACCAGAACTCACCTTTACCTTTAAGCTTTGTTTTTATAATTATTTCTTGTTTGTCATAGATCCTGGTCCATTCCAGCTGAAAGACAAGGCTTCAGAGAGACAGCATGGCTTCAATCTACAGACGTCACTTCAGAAAGCAAGCCAAGCTAGACTGCTGACAGGATACAAGATACATGTGACACCAGGGGTCAAACCAGAACCTCAACAAATGAAAGACATTATCACATGTGCAGGGGCACAGGTAAGATACATGTGACACCAGGGGTCAAAACAGAACCTCAACAAATGAAAGACATTATCACAGAGCGGGCAGACAAATTATTGTTGAATTTACCTATTCACGTTAAGTGGTAGCAGCTTTATGGAAGTCATACATAACCCAGAGTCAAAGTTGAACTCTTCAAGTATAATAATAACATACATGTACATGTAGGTAGGAATGTATAACATACAAAGTTCATTATTTATTTAAACATATTTGTGGCTTACACCCAGTAAATAAGATCGATTGATCGATCTGTAATTGAAAAACAAGTCAGAAAAAATCTTGGAACCAGCGGGACTTGAACCTGCATCTACTGCTTGCTGGGCAGAGACTCTACTGGGTGTAAGCCACAAATATGTTTAAATAATTTGAAATTTCTCCCAGGAAGCATTACATTTATAAAAGTTCCTTATTGTTTTCTCTCTTGTTGTATTCCATATCACACACAGTATGTTGCCAAGTTACCTATCAAGTCTTCCCAGCAGACGGTCGTTGTGTCATGTGACGGTGACAAATCACTATGGGCGGGGCTTAGCAAGGCTGGTAACCTTCTCGTGTCATCAGAGTTCATCCTTACAGGCATCCTGAGGCAAGATGTCTTACTCAAAGATTATAAACTCAAATAGGTCAGGATTGTATGTAAGAATGATCCAGTCATGACCCTTTGTATACTGTTAGATGATCTCAGACATTCGTTCCTTTGTTTGTTTTACCTGAACGCTACGAAAGCATGTGTATGCTTGTTAAGCCTCGGTCACAAATGCCATTATAAACTGCTATGAACGCCGTACGATCAATTTTCAGACAATGGAAATTCGGGAAGACAATGGAAACACAGAGATTCATACAAAACTATCATTCGTACGAACCTTTGTGACCGCAGCATAAGTAAGCAACCAGGGGACCGACATCTTTAAGGCCTCTCAGTAATGAGGATTAATGCCTTACCAAAAGGCTCTAGCATGTTGACTTGGTATCAAATCCGGGGGCCTCCCTGCTATGAGACCACTGCTCTACCACTGAGCCACTGCACCTGACCTCCTGCAATTGACATTGGCTTTGAAGGTAAATGATGTGGACCATTGGATCTGTGATGGACAGTGGGATCAGATAGCTGTATGTCTTGTGCATGCAAGGACTACATCCGACTTTGCCCCACCCCAACCCGCATTTCACGATTCAGATATTCATTGGTACCCGACTCTGTTCATAAATTCAACTCACAGGTTAAACGTTAAACTTCTGTGTCGGAAATTAATTCATACTGAAACTATTATGATTTGAAATACCAATGACCAAGGCTTAATTTTGAAACTCATGATTTGAAGTACCAATGACCATTTTTGTTGCTTCATTATCTTTTGCACGTACTTGTTTCTTATTTCATCTATTTCTATAAACATGATGTATTTATTTCTTGTAATTATGTATTTTCTTGAATATTACTTTAACGCCAGTGGAAACCAAATTTCTATGTAACTTGTTTGCAAAGACCAAATCAAATATCTTGTATCTTGTGCATGCAAGGACTACAGCCTAATCTGGACCAAAGAACGACTGAAGGCTAGTGATTATCTAACCTACACTGTAGGTACTCCACCTAGTCTAAAAATATGTGCTGCGCCTAGAAACAAAGTATTAGGCGCATTATAAATGTGAGCTATTATTATTATTATTATTAAAGGAGGTAGGCAACAATTTGGAACAAAGTTCTCAAAATCATTGATATCATTGACTCTTTAAAATCTAGGTTGTTGTGAGGCCTACGAAATACAATACATATTTGAGACGGGAGGTTCTTTCCTATGAAAATTTGCCTAAATGCTCATTACTAATTTTTTCCTTGTATCCTGAACACAAACATCTTTTTAATATGTTTTTTTTTTCCATTTAATTTTGGTAATGAAAAACTTGAATATTCAAAGTTTTTTGTTTGTTTGTGTTTTTTAATATTTTTTTTAATGAATATTGGAGGAAAGTCCAGCCATTTGTTATTTTAGTTTCAAATTTACCAGAAAATATTAATATTTTAGGCCATGGCACCTTTTATCTACACTTATAGCAGGAGTAGGTCTTTTTATTTTTCACCTTCTTAATATTCGAGGAGCTTTTGCTTTTATTACTGGGGGGCGATTCACTAACTGGAAACGATTTCGTTCCTAAGAGCAATTTTTGGGATTGATTTCAATCCCAGCTTAAAGGCGATTCTACATGTACCTGACCGGTTCACTAAATCGCTTTTTAGGCTGGGATCAATCCCAGCATGAATATTCATGTACGCGATCAATCCAACCAATCAACAGACTCAAATTTTAGACACTGGGCATTGATCAAGCTTGCTATGTATATGTAGTACATGTTTCATGTTTTTACCAGGATTATTTTGCCACAACTATTGAACAGAGGAAATGTAACTTTAGTTGTATCAGTTTTACCATTTGAGATATGGCAATGCTAGTGTTTGCAACAAACTTCAAAATGCCACTCGATATTGCCCTGAAAGCTTTGTTACATTAAAGGTAAAGACCAGTATTGGAAACGCCCCCATTTCAAAAAATGAAATGGAAGCTCTTACATGTAATACCAATCATGTGAAAGAATATGTTTTGACTAATACATGATCATACAAATTTTGCCAAGAAACCACCTACTGATTGATATATTTGGTAATTTATTATATCTATTTGGACCTGATAGATAGAACGCATGTGTCACGCACGTGTGGGAGTAGTCCCATATACATCTTTCTGTGTAAAGTGCTTGTAACTTTACCAAGACTGGGCCAAATTTCTTATCATTTTGATGATTCCAGAACCTTGCAGTACACACCAATACTTATACTAGATGATCAACCTTTTCTGATCGATTCCACAATGTTTCTTTTACAATGCAATCGCATGACCAGAACTGATCTTTATCTTAAATAAGTATGACCCTTCAATTATTTTCATAAGAAATGCATCACAAATGCATTTCCAGAGACTATTCCATTCGTGAGCTATTACAACAATCTTGGATAAACTCAAAAACATACCAGTAAGCAATTTTATTTCTCAATACCAAATGTTAATACTTGTGATTCTTGCAAATTCTTTGTCTTTCCATCATATTGAATTTCCTTTGTCTATATGTACCACAAATCTTCCAGGCATTGTTTAACAATGTTTCCAGTTTTACAAATTTGAGATGCATGGCCCTACGTTTTATCAGTGTCTGTGATATGGTGTAATATTGAAGCCCCTCAAACAAATAACGCTTCATAATGATCATGTAGTGCTTCAAAAAGTAAAAAACTTTGAGTGACCGGTTTTACCATACTCATTTCTCCCAATAGACGAGTTTTATAAAAGCTGTTCAAAACCGTAAAGAAAACGGTTTCTGAAATTTCGAGTTCCAATCATAAATATCATGATAAACAAACATGCGATTGGCTTGTAAAAATCATGGGATTCATTTCTGACCTGAAAGCTTAGTTATGATTGCAGCATGAGCTAAATCCAGGATTTGGTTTAGAATCAGAGGCAAAGTTACCTAATACCTTTAAAGATGGTGTGTCCCTTTTGCAGGCTGAACATATGAACTTGTGTATTCTGTAAATCCTATGGTAAACAAGAGATAATGTCAACTAAAAACTTCCCTGAAAAAATTAACCTGGTAATTGCCTCTACATGGAATTATATCAACCGTTCGAAAATGCGCTTCTTAAATTATACGTAAAAAAAAAGTTTTTTAGACCCTTGGTTGTACGTTTTGTGCTGCGCAAAGATTCAAACAGCTTAATTTTGACCATTACAAGTAGCTAGCAGGTTATTGATGTATGCAAAAGCTCATACCCTTTACAAGTCAGTCAGTCAGTCACTCAATAGTGTCTGACAGTGAAATCTAGCAAGTAAACAGGCTTCCTTGCATAATTTGAAATCTAGGACACTGCTAATGTTTAAATTTCACAGATGGGACATACATGACATATTCATAATTCATGCAAAGTTCTCTAGAATTTGATGTAGGCTGCAAGTGGGATACACTACCTTTAACCTGTAACTTATGTACCATGCTTAAGTTACTAAAATATAAATATTATGTCACAAGTCTTCTCATTGTATTGATTTTTTATTGTGTCAATTAAAGAAAGGTATTTGTTTACAATAGACCAGTTCGTAGATGCAATCTGCACATTCGCAGATAAAGGTCACTTGTACAAAATTGTAAAACCCATGTGCTCATGAAGGTTATGTAATCATTATTCATGCATGCACCTGTGATGCATTCTATTGAACACAGATGGAAGTAATCTTTTCAAGAGGGCAAACAAAGAATCACCTCCATGACTGTCTTAAGCTGTGATTATTCCAAAAGGCACAAAGTGGGATTTATCTATGTTTAAAAGATCTGTGGATATTAGGGGTCATCTGAACCATGTGCTAACTACAAACTGGTCTATTCTACATCAGGAACATTGATCGTAAGGTTGATCCTTATCTCATTGTAGGCTAGGGAGATGTAAGATATATTTGCCATCTATGCATTTAGTACAATCACTTTTAATGACTATGTTATGCTTGTTTTTTTAAATAAATTTTTCTTTTTACTGCTTTATAATTGCAATCTTATGATAAATTTGATATTTCTATGGACATTCAGGCCCGAATTCACAAAGGAGGTTTGTCAACAAACCTAGGTTTATGTGCATCATATGACGCGTTTCGACACGTTTCAAACAAACCTTGGTTTGAAATGCGTCATATGAGGCACATAAATTAACCTAGGTTTGTCGACAAACCTCCTTGGTGAATTCGGGCCATACAGTCCCCCTCCCTCCCATCCAGAAGCTTCATTGCTGTGTTGTATGGAAGATACACATGTGGAGATGTGGATGGTCTAGTGGATACGTCACTGGACTGTGGATCACATGGTTCGCGGTTCGCGGTGCCACTAATGTCCTTTTTTCCAAGTCACTCATCTACATTTGCCACTATCCACCAAGGTGTTTAATGTGTACCTGGTAGGATGCGAATGATAATGTGGTTGGATTGGCAGTGATGTTAAATAGTGCCTGGCTGGAATACTCCCCAGGGAGCAGAGTGTGTGCACCATCATGTGCAGATTAGCAACTGAATCCAATGACCAGGGTAATGATTATTACAATGTAAAGAGCTTAGAAATGTAGTATAAGTGCTATACAAATAAGACTATATTTTTCACTGGAGTCTTTATCACCAAATAATGTAAATATAAAAGCTTGTTAATGAACGGGAAACTGTCCATTCTATTGCCTTATACATTGTCTGCTGTAGGGCTTAAAGGCGCCACGTTAATGGACAAAGTGAGGACTTTTATTATTCACATGTTCACAACAAATAAAATTCAGAAATAACAAATTGACTTGATTTTGTTGAGTACTTTATTTGCATGTTATACATCATCAGGATATTAGACACTTTATTCATAAATCTTACATCATTGGTTGCCAATAACTGCATATTCATTCCACGAAGCACATATTTACTAAACACAAAGCATTAATAAATAGTGCAAACTGTTAGATGGGCTAAGGTCTTATTACAATGCAGGACATCACATTATGACTGAGGATCAAAGACTGAACTACTAGAGAGAGAGGGGGAGGGAGAGGGGGGAGAGAGAGAGGGGGAGAGAGAGAGGGGGAGAGGGGAGAGGGAGAGAGGGGGAGGGAGAGGGGGGAGAGAGAGAGGGGGAGGGAGAGAGAGGGGGGAGGGAGGGGGGAGAGAGGGGGGAGGGAGGGGGGAGGGAGGGGGAAGGGAGAGGGGGGAGGGGAAGAAGGGAGGGAAAAGAGAGAGAGGAGAGAGAGAGAGGAAGGGGGGGGGGGTAGAGAGAGAGAGTGAGGAAGGGGGGTAGAGAGAGAGAGTGAGGAAGGGGGGTAGAGAGAGAGAGAGGGAGGAAGGGGGAAGAGAGGAGAGAGAGAGAGAGGGAGGGGGAAGGGGAGAGAGAGGGGGAGAGAGAGGGGGAGGGAGGGGGAAGAGAGAGGGGGGAGGGAGGGGGAAGAGAGAGGGGGGAGGGAGGGGGGAGAGGGGGGAGGGAGGGGGAGAGAGGGGGGAGGGGGAAAGAGAGAGAAAGGGAGGGAGAGGACAGACGGATGCTAAGCATTTCAAGCAGTGCTCAGAATAAGACAATATTTATTTTAAAGGCACATACATTGTAAGAGCAAAATTAACAAACTATTGTGTGTTCCCAGAATGCACATTTTTGGGGTCCTAATAAGATCTTGTCAAAAGTTAGTAAATTCATATTTACAATGAATTTATCAATTTATGACCCATTGCCTCCCTCCCTTCCTCCCTCAATGTACAGGAGTTGCCTATCTGAATGTTTCAGCATTACACATACTGGATCGTGCCCCCTATTTGGTGTCTGCAAACCATTCACTTTATAATTTCACTTCCAACGTAAATGACCTGGAATTGAACGGGCGAATTGGAATCTTGAGTCGATATCATTTTAAATACATGAACATAGTCTCAGAGTCCTATTCAGAGTAATGT